AAGGTGTTTCTGTCTGCTTCCACCTAAGCTCCTAGAAAGGTCATGCTGCCTAGTCTGCTAGCTACCTTGACTGACATAAACCTTTGTTTGGTAGACCCTATTCAACCTGTATTCTGATGCAGGTTGCAACATGTGTTATGCATAAGGATAGTCAGGCAAGCGAGACACATACAGAGAAGCATACAGGCATGCACTCACTCACCAGCCATCCTGACAGTTGTGACTTGCCTCTGAACTTTATCCCAGTCCTGAGGCTGAAGCAGGTTCTATTCTGACTTAGAGTGAGGTGCCCATGAATGGGTTAAAGTTGGCACTGGAGAGATTTAGGGTACAATTTGGTTACTTAAGCTTTGGCCGGGCTTGTCCTTGACAAAACAACCAGTGTGCCCCTGTCGCCAATGTCATTTCTTCTTCTTTTTGCTTGAAATGAACTTTCTCACCTTTTTAATTTGGAAAAAAATCCTACTTCCCCTTCCCATCAGTTTGCCCTTACAGACTCCATTGACATTTTGTTTTAAATAAGATAGCAGTTAATTCAAGCGAATCCCTACTTTGTGGGCCCCATTTCACTGAGTGAGCAGGAGGCTTGTGTTGTAACCCTTTTGGAGGAGATACTGGCAATAGCTGATACACAAGTCTAAGAAGAAACCAGTAGCAGAGTGGAATTTGCTTTTCTAAGCAAGTAGAAACACCTCCACAACTGCCAAAAGAAAGTCTAATTATCTTTGTGTGTTTTTAATAATTAGCAATATGCTATGAGAATGCTAATTGTAGCTTTGTTTATAGTGGCAGAAAACATCCCAGAATAATCAAAATGTCCAAGAAAGAGGATGATTAAATAATTCCATAAAACTTAATGCTATGGAATAAAAGGAAATGAGATGGAAAGTAGTCTTATATATTTTGACTTGGAAAGATGCTTAAGATATACTTTTGAGTGAAAAGGCAATTAGAACAGTAGACTCTATGAGGAAGTGTTGAGATATTGTGATTATTAAACATACAAAGCAAACTTCCAGATTAACTTTATATATTTTTTCTTGGCATAAATAATCCCTGGAAAATGCAAAGAAAAGGGTTTGGTAGCATACATACAAAACAGATTATAGTTGTGTTGACAAAAGTGTCATAACTGGGGTGATTGTCTAGATTGGGATTTTAAACATATAAAACATATCTACATATTTTTTTTGCTACTAAATATTTTATGCAAAAAGATAAATGTTAAATGGCAGCATTGTAGTGACAACATTAAATTCTGAATCTGTGCTTATGAAATACCACTGAGTCAACACATAGTCAAAGGACAGCAAGTTTGACACACTGGAGTGACACTAAGAAAAGCAGAAAGTTCTTCAACTACATTTCACCTATTGCCAGTTCTTGAGTTGGCTGCAGACACTGTAAATGTCAATTCAGTGGTTATGGTGTGAGGCCTTCTTTGAGACAATTTTAGGCCCTTGTCCCAGCCACAGGTTTTCTTGTTCCTAATGCAAAACGTGTGGTTCAGACAATGTGCTGACCATTGGAGTTACTATTTACACCTCTCCTTCTGACTTTTGCCTGTAGGACCCTATTTGGTTGGTCACTCTTCCACCTATTAACCTTTCTTATGAGTTCAGAACAGTTATCATACTTGCCCATAGACGGTGTTTGTAACATATTTTTTTCTACACAAACTCATAAACTGATACTAATACTTTTGTGCAAAATGTGTGAAGGGTATGGACAAAAATGTGATAAAAATTTCCACAAACCTCGTTTGGAGTCAGATGCTGTCATGATACCTAGTGATATGAACACACTGCTGAGTGGAGTTCAAGTCTAGCAGGAAGTGTTGTGATATTGTGATTTCTGAGCATAAGAAATGCATGTCACGTTTTCTATTGTAATTTTAATTTTATAGAGCATAGATGATAAGTCATTCTGAATAGAAAATTATGAATTGATCATCCAATGTTTTTTTTATATTAGGATTTACAAAATCTTCTCTCTCATTTTTTTGTTTCTCTCTTGTTTTGATTTGGGGGGCTCTCACTATGTTGACCAAGCCTCCTCACTATGTTGACGAACTCTGGGACTCAGTCAGTCCTCCTCTCTCAGCCACTCAATTATCTGGGTCTACAGGCACACACCATCGTGCCCTGCTACTAAATCCCAATAAACTGAAAAGTGAGGGGCATTCTGTCTTATTCCTGTGATTTGTGTGAATAATTTTGACCATTTGTGCTTCATCTTCCTCTCATCAATGCCAAAGAGAGAACAGTACAACTTTCTAGTCTTAATTGGTGGGAAAAAAATCAACTCTTAAACTAGTTTTAGAGGTGTGCAGTTACATTTACAATGTCTATCTATGTTGGTACATAGTAAATAATAAAACCCTTATTTTTTCATTTCTTCTCCATTAGGTTTATCAGATCTTTTTATTTCCCACCCCCATGGTAGTACATGTTGAAGACCTCACTGACCCATTGCTGCAAAAATGTTATTTTTACTTTCTTCAGATTTTATGTCATTGTTCAAAAACATCATAGCTCATTCCATCACTCAAAGGTTCTAGAAGTTCCTAACATCAGAGACAGGAGTGTAGAAGTCTATTTCTATGTCTTTTATCTCTTTAAAAAAAGTGCATATTATTTAGTAATTCTTTTTAATTAAAAAGATTAAAAATTTCAACAATAGAAGTACATAAATGGAAATTTTGCTTCCATTTTTTTTTTCTTCATCTTCTTCTTTGCATAGCTTGGGATTGAACCTAGAGCCTAGGCTTATGTTAGGCAAGCACTCTACTTCTAAGCTACATACCTAGCTTAGAAATTTCACCTTTTACAGTGTATTCTGTATTATAGTTGACATGAGAAATGAGTAAAAGGCTTGGTAAAACAGAACTGGTTTACTGATGAAATCCTAACTTACCCTTCCTTCCTTCCCTTACCCTTTTCTTCCTTTATTTTTAACTTTTTAATATCAGAATTCTCAAGTATTGATGAATAAGAGAAAGTAGTATAAAAAACCCCTATGCACTCATCAACTCATATCTAATAAGTATAACACTATATTTTTCAATATTTTAAAACAAAACTCACCCATAATATAAGCACAAGGTCCCTTATTGCCTTAATCTAATCATATGTCTTCATCACATCTAAATATATAAATACAATTCCTTTAAATCACTTGGAATTATTAATTTTGTATGTCGCTTGAGTGGGCCATGGGTTGTCCAAATATTTGGTCAAATGTTATGTAGGCCATTTCTATGAGGATGTTTTTATTTGCATTTACTTATTTTTTTTGCTACAAGCAATTGTCTTTTATTCAATATGAATATATTATATGTAATTATAAATAATTTTGTACATTTGTATAAAGTTAATTACATATTTGCACTATTTTACATTTTAATGTTTATAAATTTATATGTATATAATTTTAGAATTTTTAAGTACATTCAGGAATTCTATACTTGTTTTCTTTTTGACAGTACTGGGGTTTGAACTCAGGGTTTTGCACTTGTTAGGCAGGTGCTCTAACTGCTTGAGTGAGGCTTTCTGCCCTTTTAGCTCTGCTTCTCTTGGAAATAGTCTCACTTTTTGCTAATGAGGACCTGCAATCATCCTATTTAAGCTTCCCTCTGTCAATGGGATGACTGGTGCATGCCACTATTCCCAGTTTCTTCCACTGAGATGTATCTTGCAAACTCTTTTGCCCCAGCTGGCCTAGAACTGCAGGTCTCCTGATATTAGCTACCTGCATAGCTTGAGGTGATAGGTGTATGCCACCCTCTCCAGCTATTGGTAAGGGGGGGTGTCTCACTAACTTTTGCCCATGGTTGACTATGAACCCCAATCATATGAGGATTTTTTTAGATGTGATTAACATTTTAATTGATAGACAAGATGGACCTCCCTAATGTGGTGAGCCTAATTCAATCAGTTGAAGACTTAAATAGAGCAAAGAGTTTGACAGTTTGTCCCTCAAATAAGAGAGAATTCTTTATGCTTGATGATACTCAAATGGGGACTTTGGTTTTTCTCCTTGCTTCATAGCTGAACTGAAAGTTTGACTTGTCTTGAGTCTCAAGCTTCCTGGTGTCTAGAACTATACCATTTTGTCTCATTAGTTTTGGGGGCTTTAGACTTGGGCCATCAACTTCATTGGGTCTCAGCCTGGTGTCTTACCCTTCAGATCTTGGTGTTTGCCTGTCTTATAATCAAATGAGTGAATTCTTCATATTAAATATTTCTCTCTCTCTCTCTCTCTCTCTCTCTCTCTCTGTATATATATATATATATATATATATATATAATTGGTTCTGTTTCTCTGGAGAGCACTAATATATCACCTGAATTTGTACATGTTCAATTTCCCTTAATGGCTCAAAAATACCTTCTTACAATTTCTTTAAAGCAGAAACCAAATGGGTTCCAGAAACTATTTATTTTCAAACCTGTAAACATAAATCATGTTTATGGCAATGTAATGGAATGTTTCCCTTCTATAGCATTACTTAAATAATATTGGATAGCCTCTGGGGCACAGCATATTTAATACCAAATTTTAGAGGCTGATCACAGATTTATAAAGATCAGAACACACACATTTTTGGTGATACTGGGGTTTGAACTCAGGGATTTGTGCTTGTAAAAGAATACACACTTCCAATGTGTCAAGACTGGGCATAGACAGAGAGCTTACCATATTCTTATTAACACTTACATACTACTGAAAAGCCAAAAAAAGAAGAAATTTATATGTTAATGTTATTATCCTCTTAATCCAAGGAACCTTTCTCATTTCTTTATTTGCAACAGGGTCCTTCTTCCAGATACAACTTGCACTATTGGTGCAAAGCTCATGCAATTATTAAGGTGAAAAATGCAAATGCACTGTTCTATAAGGAAATAAGCCCAGTCTCTGATCAGAAGTAAACTGTCAGTATAACACATGTTCATAGGCATCAAGGTTGGCTTATCAAGGTCAATACCACAGCCACTCACCCAGTACTATTGAGGTAGCTCTGTCCCAAGCTGCAGTCCTTTGACAAAGAGGATGGATTGAACCAAAAAGCTGGCAGGCACTGCCCATTGCTGTGTCTCTCATAGCCATAGTCACTGTTGGGGAAAGAGCCAAGAGAAACCTTTCAGTAGGTGGTAAAATGACTCAGAACTATTCCATGCTAGTCCACCGCCAACTTCTACTATAATCATTCCAAAAAAAAAAAGCATTCCCAGAGTCAATGACTTCTCAAAAATGGAACTGTTGTTTTTTGAAATGTACACATTTTTTGCATTTTTATTACCACATATTAATTGTACAACATGGAGGAGTTTCATTGTGATATTTCCATACATGTATATAATATACTTTGATCACATTCACCCACTCTATTACTCTTTCTTACTCTCCCTCCCTCACCCCTTTCTATCCTTTTTGCATTTTTTGAACTGTTTTTTAATAGACATCAATTATCCAGGAAAATATCCTACAGAACCAATAATAACCATTCAAATGTCTGTGAGCTATAAGAGTAGACTCTGTTCTCATTAGCAGGATACAATTTACTGATTGTAATTAGAAAATAGTCTGTGACGGAAGCTGAAGCCCTAGCGACAATTTCACTACAGAGTTTAGTACAGCCACATGTGGCCCAGTCCTCATTACTGATGATGTCTTTGGGATGCTCTTCCAAGACATCTGGATCCACCAAGCAGAGCCAAGCCAGGTCTCTGTGTGCTCAAGCCATGTGCTTCCAATGAAGTTCCAGCTAAAAAGAAAATGTCCTTCAGGAGTATCTTATGCATTCCCCTAAGGAAAAGTTTTGTCCTAGTTATGAGTGCTGCCACTTGGGACTGCTTTACAGCCTCTGTCTGCTTTGGGAATAGTCAGAGACTTTTGTCTCAGACTCTTCTCATTTGCTTCTAGAGGCAAGTAGCCTGACATTCTTGGCTTCTGGGAGATGAAACTGGGCAGAGAGTGCAACAAATTGTGCTTCCACATGCATAGACAACTCACAGGCAGCAATCAGCAAGCATTAGTATGAATTGGCCCATCTGTGTAAAGGAGGTGAGATGCTGGCACATGATGAGTGGGGTGGGAGAAATAGGCTCAGCTCAGGGGCCTGCCACCAGGCAGCTGGTACTTAGAATTCTGCACACACCAGCTGAATTTGGTGCTGGTTCAACACAGCATGGGTAGGAAGACTTCAGAACTGATGCCTTTAGAATACCCAGTGTTCATATCAGGGAATTACTTTATACAAATGCTGGAGAATGATGGGCAAGGTCATTGCAGAGGAGAGCGGGGAAGGAATGTCCAGGGATCCAGGTTAGGGAAAATTCAATGACAACATCTGTCATTACACTCCATTCAGGTAAAATCACTAAAAAAAACCTACAGCTACTGGTAGAAACCCAACAAGGTCATGGTGAGCCTTCCAAAATATTTTCAGAAATCATGCAGTCACAAAAATCTCATTTGACCAGAAAAAACCTTACAATAGCCTTGTTTATGATTAATTTTGCACTTCTTGGAATGCAGTTCAGCTGGTAGGATGAGTAGCAGTTTCCAAACACAAATGGATGCAAGGATTGGGCCAAGACAGGGATGTAGAGGATGGGGAAGGATAGAAGCCCAGTTTCTTTCCTTAATCTATGCCTCTTTGCTCTGGACTAGGTTACAATTGAAAAAGAATGAAAAACAACAACAACATTGGCTTATTTTGGAACCTTATGGAAAACATCCCCCAAAGAAACAAATGTTTCCAAGAGAAATCAAGATATTCAGATATCTCGCCTCATTATTGCTCCTAGTTTTTCTCTGGATAATAAATTTGCCCTCTGCAAAAGAAAGACTGCTTCACAGGCCAAAACTAAGCCAATAATATAGAATGCTGACTTCCTTTGCAAACCCTACGTGAATAGAGAAGATGATGCAGAAGCAGCTAGGATTCAGAAGGTAGGATTGCAATGAATGACTTAAAACCTCATGGTAGTTGTTTCTGTGAATGTATTTCAGAGTGTCAATCCTGAAGGGTAAGACAGGGATAAAATATTTGCATCATTGCAGTAGAGTAATGTTGCACTTACAAAAATAAGAGTCATAGTTGGAGTGGCCCCTGCAGAACTCCTTCTGAGCTCCAGTGTAAGTGAAGTTCTGTTGCCGTCAGGCTGAGCCCAAAGAGCTATAGCACTGGCTCCTGGCTTGCCTTGTCCACCAAGAGGGGAAGAGTCATTGTCTGATGACTAGCACCCAATTTTGCCAGGTCTTTCCCAGCATTATTTGTTCAGAGAACACCTCCAGCAGTCTATCGTTAGAGAAGGTTGACTGTTTTCTAAAATATGGATGGGTGCATACACAGTGTAGCTCATTCACTGATATTTTGATGGTCAGATATATGACCTGTAATTGCTATGCTGTTAAAAACAAATTCTTAAAGAATGACTAGTTCTTAAGCAGATCGTCTTAATTGTTCAGTATTTAAACACATATTTAGTAACTGCTTTTTCTAAATTAAGAGGAAAAAGAAAAATATGAAAGAAGAGAAAAAATGTAACAGAAAATGTGATGGGAATTAATAAGGGGGTAATTAGTATTTATCATCAATAATTTGTAAACCTCACATGGGTCAGGCAAGGACATTGTTGGACCCACAAGTTAGCTTCCTGCTTAGCAAATGTTTCAGGAACATTTAGTTTAAACCTCCCAGTATCTCAGTACTTGTCCAGTTTAAACTAGCTCCTTTATCACTAGGTTCACAGAGTCAAATATTTGTGTGGTTACTGAACGTACCCTTGCTTTGACTTCACAAATGTCTTCCACAGCTCTCATACACTGTGGTCAGCTGTCCACTGATTGAAACCTTTCAGGAACAGAGAATTTAATGTCTTATAAGGACATCATTCGTTCTAGATTCTAGACTCTAGATTCTAGAAACTTTAGATATAGAGCACAAATATGTTTGTTCTCCAAAAAGTCCACTTATTGTTTTCAGTATTGCTATTTTAAGTAGCACAGAAAGAATAAGTTTGGTATCTTTTTGTTTTGAGGATTTATCAACTACAGGAAGATAATTACCAGCAATCTTCTGAGCGCTCTTTAAATGCAAAGAAACTCCTAGTTTTGCCATTCGCACATGCGTGTAGCATGAGGCCACACAGCACTATACATGTCGCTACTTTTTCAAATCTAAGCTTTTGTCAAGGGCCATGTGGATGTGATACATTGAACAGCTCTTGGGATAACTGTGTGAGCTCACCAGTCAAAGTCAGCCTCAGTACAGACACAGGGCTCAGACTCCATAGCTCCTGCATATTTTCCTTGCATACACTTCCGCTCAGATTTTCGCTTCTTATATATCCTTTTGGCTCCCATGATGCATGCTTCACCCTATAAAGACATTGACACAGTTGAGCACATAGCTTGGACTTCCTCTGCTGCACATCAGGGCAGCTTAGAGAGATATCCACAATCTTTAGTGGAGTACAGACTTTGTTATCCCACTTGGTGACGTGGCTACAAAGGCAACCCTTAGAAGCATAAGGCATTTATCTAATAACATCTTTAATTCCTACTTAGCAAACTTTTATTTGGCAAAGTGTTATGTTCAGAGCCACAAAGGATGCACAGATAAGGAAGATACCTATGACTAGTATATTGCCAGCAAACCTGCACTAATCAAGTTCAATTCTCCCATAACAAAAGATTTATTCAGTTGGTCATTTATGAGCATATGAAAGAAGAATGTTGCTAAGAAATAAAAGGATCCATTTTGTCCCAATTTATTACAGCTCTGCCCACACAACTTTATAACTGGTTTTATGTTCATCTACCAGACAAGTGAGAGAGCTAAATTCAGTGTTTTTCCATGAGATAAATAAAAGCTTTGAATGCTTATGCATCCCAAAGGGGAAAATAGCAGCAATGTAAATGAGTGATAATTTTATTGTTGAACCTCTGAATAGAGTGGGAGTTTCAAGGTAATGCAGCGCTCACTATCAAACATAGCTCCTTTTGTGTTTCTGAAAGACCAGAGCAGAATTTTTTTTTTTTTTTTGTCTAACACACACTGTCTTTAACTGGTTCCATTACACAGAAACTCATTTTAACTGGTTCCATTACACAGCTACATATAGATATATTACTTAGTCTGCGTTTGGAGTATATTATGTTTTACTGCCTGAATATGGTGATGGCTTTGCAGCAAGAAATTCCATCATATCCTCTGAGAAGCTGCAGAATGACTTCTGTCTTGGGAAATCAAAAATAGATGTTCTCATGCAAGCATTTTGATATGAGCTGAAAAACCGAGAGGCTAGGATGTTGGAAGGTTTCCCATTAGCAATTCTGCAATCTGGTACCATGAGTACTTTGGAGGAGGCAAGAAGTACTATTTCCTCCTGGGGAACTTAAAATGGGGAGGAAGAATTCTTCTGGCATGACTCACCCAGCATTACTTTGTTATCTTATGCCTCACCTCTGTTTGCATTCCCAGATGAAACTGAAGCTCTTTTCCTCGCTCTGTCCCCACCACACATCCATATGTGTTCAGATAAATTATGCTTGGATCTCAGTGCTGACTTGGTATTTCATTTTGAGGTGCAAGATTGAGCAAAGCATATTTGAATTTTATCTCATTATATCTTAGCATAATAAAACAGAAATAACTTTATAACAAGATATAAATGTTGATTTTGTTCACTGCTATGGAGCATAAAATGTGTAAGAATGACATGGACATTCTGGCCTCCAGGTCTTAAGCCTTATGGAGTAGCTTTCGTTCAAACTTTCCCTGCCTACTTCCCAGGGTTAATCTCAGTCTTTTTGATCCTACCTGACTGTGTAACTGCCAAGGCCTGTAGTCCTCCTCAGCACACCGTCTATCGAAAATGGACTTGTAGTCCACTTTGACCAGCTGCCATTCAGAGCGGTGGCTAAAGTGTCCAAACACTCTGCAATGATTCATGATGATAAAAATACACATATAATCACAGTAACAGTTACAACAGTATTAACAGCTTACATCTGTTGAGTATTTACTGTGAGAATGGTATAATGCTAAGTACATTACATGGATCATACCATTTAATCTTTAAAATACATTTGTGAGGGAATACTAACACTGGTTCCACTTTGCAGATGGATAAACAGTGGCTCAAAGTGGTTTTACAACATGGAAACACCGAAGTTAGATCACTAATAACTGACATAGCTTAACTTCAAGGTATTAGACTCAATAACCCATTTATGTATATTTTGCCACAGAACAGCTGAAAAAAAAATGACTAAGGCAACAAAAATACTTAATTTTAGGTGGTCCAAGGTATAATTCTAGGTTCTTTTGCTAATATACCTGGTTCCCATTGTTTCCATGGCATTTTATCTTCCCACCAGTGCCTTTGGAAGTAGGCAACAGAGCCAAGTAGTAATAACTGTTCCTACATTGTACTACTCTTCCAGAGAGACTGGGTATTTAATGTAGTTTTCGAATCACTAATCATAGGTATGAGTAAAAGACACAAAGTGGCCTTTTAAATAACCTATTTTTAATCTGCGTTTCACGAATATAAAAATCTAATTTTATTAGATTTAATTTATCCATATTTCCCATGTCCAATAATAAAAATGTATCCATATTTCCCATGTCCAATAATAAAAATGTAGCTGTTAGGCCTATTACATTGTTCTTTTTATTTTCTACCATTGAAAAAAGAGGGGAGGAGGTTAGAAAATTTGCCAATTATTTACTTCAACCTTGAAATTTTTATTGATGACAGGATCAACTGCTTTCAAACTTTCTCTTTCTATTTTCCATGGCAAATTTTCTAGAAGGAAATAACACAGTTTTATGCTTCAAACTGAAAGCCCATGTTTTGAAAGTCATAGGCAACCAGGTCATTAATCAAGTCTTTCTTAAATTAATGATCATGACTTTTCATACAAGAATGAATGTAAATGCAATTTCAGAAGAACAGATTGTTCTCAAGGTTTTCCTAATATACTTCACAATTGGGTTAGGTAAAGAGCCAAGGGAAAAATCAAGTCCTTTGTGGGCTTTGTCAAATGCTGTGTTCTAATTGAAAGACAGATCATTCTTGTGTAACTGAGATTTCTGCATATTCAGTTTGCTTATTACTAAAGTTTTAAGTCAATAGCTTTATTTCTATTGAGATGATTCCTTCAAATTTCCCTAAATTTATTGAATATAGAAAGAGAAGAGCTTAATCCTTCTGCTACTACCCTTCGGTGAGTCTCCTAAAAACTACCAAAGACCCAAAAAAGTGGTTGCTCGTATGTTTCTTCTCCTTTCTCTTGGTGGGGAACTGCTGAGTAGGGGGTAAGGATTTTGCTAATCATCTCAAACCTAACAGCAGCACATCAAATAGGCTTAGCTGCAAAACATCATTCTGGATTTGCTCTCTCTATGAAGAATGAAAGGGCTGAAGGTGTGGCTCAAATGGTACAGTGCCTGCCCAGTAAGTATGAGGCCCTGAGTTCAAACCCAGGTATTATCAAAAAAATACCATTAAGAATGAAACACGTTATAGTATTCCACTTACGTCATGATTAGAGTCTCTTCTCCAGGCTCACCCAGAACCCCATCCACAAAAAGTGGAATAGATGTGAAACTGTATTTGCTCCAAGATCTCCCTTCATCAAAACTCAACCTAATGATATAACAAAATAAGAGTCCTCACATTTCAAAAGAAGAAAAAAAAGAGCTGTTTAGGAAAGAGAGTAGCAATTGAAAGAATACCTTCTAATAATACCTAGGGCATTGTCAAAGAAAGCCTTTCCTGTAAATAAATGTTCTTAATTATATCAAAAGGTAGAAACACAATTAGCCAAGTAATAGGGACCCAGATGTGCTAAGGCATCAATAAGTGAGAGAGCAATATGAGATGTGAATTACAATAAGTATCTAATAGAAAAATTTTAAACTTGGAAATTTTGTTAGTTCTTAGCCTTAATATGAGTATCTCCAAATTCTCACTGCTGTCTAGCAGAAAACCTTATTTTGAAGAGTAACAAACTTGCAAGATTGACTTAGATGGATGTCAACAAACCCATTTCTAAGTGACCAAGTCCTAATCATATTTTTATGTTATTATAAATCCTGATTGACCTCAGTGAATGAATGAATGGGTATGGAAGGGTGGTCTCTTGAGAGTAAAAGAAGTCTGCCGATCTGATGATCACTTTTATTTTCCAAATGTTTTTGTCCTCCCCCAAATCCATATTTTTGAAAATTTAATCACCAGCCACCATGATCTTAGGAGGTAGATTATTTAGGAGGTGATTGGGTCATAAGGATAAACCCCTCATGAATGGGATTAGTGCCGCATAAAAAGAGGAACTGACCTTGCCCCTTTCACTGTAGGAAAACAGCAAGAAGACATTAATTGTAAGTCAGAAAGAGGATCACTGAATCTGTTAGCACCTTGAACTGGACTTGCAGCTTCCAGAACTGTGAGAAATAAATTTTTCTTATTTATGAGTTAGCCAGTTTATGATATTTTTGTTATAGTGACCCAAGTTGACTAAGACTTTCTTTGACTATCTTTCTTAACGGATGCCTTTCCCCAAGCTAAACTTTTGTTTTTCTTCTGAGGATATCAAACTAACAGTAGAGGGAAAAACCAGGTTTCTGAGTTTGAACTAGTTCATATGTGGAGAGAGCCACTTTTTTTTTGAGACAGGGTCTCACTATATAGCTCAGGCTGACCTGGAACTCACTATGTATCTCAGGCTGTCCTTGAACTTGTGATCCTCTTGCCTCGAATTCCAAAGTGTTGGGATTACAGGCATGTACCACCCTGCCAAATTTAAGAGCTTCTTTAAAACAAATGTGAAGGAGCTTCTTGTAAACAGTCCTAGAAGTCAGACCTTGCACATCCATAGGTGGAAGACACAGGTGGAGTTGTAGAATATCACCTCATAAAAGGAAACTAAGAAGGTTTTACAGAAGCAAGATAGGAGCAGAATTGTCATGAATTGCTAATCTTTGTGCAGAATGCACACAATAATGTGAATATTTGTTATTTGGATTGGGTGACAATAAGTAGGTAAGCTACTCAGAGACTATGACTAATAGTGAACATGGTTCTACCAGTGGTGGTGCTGGGAGAATAAGTTACAGAGAGAGTATTGTCACATTTGGAAATCATAAGGCAATTATTTTCTTAGGGGCAAAAGTTATCATCCCTTCTTTTTCAACTCTACCCTTCCTTTTTCAAAACTGTAGGCAGCAATCTTATTTTAAACAAATGTGTAAATTAGGCTCTAGTAGATCCTGGCATTTGACTACAAGTAAAGCCAGACTCCTAGACTGGTCCTAGAAGAATTAACAGACACATGTCTCCAGGACACAGATGCCCTTACCAAAGATGTCGAATTGGGAGTGACGTGTGTTTCATAGCAACCAGGACTCCACCTTGATCCAGGTACAAAACACTGTGTTCTTCTTCAAAGATCTGAAAGAGGAAAATAAACACACGTGGAAACAAAACTACACCTAAACATACCAGTGTACATAGAACCAGTTTTCATAAGGACAAAAATCTACCCCATGATAGACATAGGGTTCTGTAAATCTTTGAGAAAAATATGTTATAAAATAATGTTTGCCAGCATGGGCTATATGTATCATTGGTGTTCTATAAAATTATTTTAGGTATACATGAAATAAAATTTAAAAGTGAATAGTACATACTCATGTTTATATTCCCTTATATTTATAGTAATGTCTATGGATTCCCATTTCTGATGTCAGAACTTTAAGTAACTATCATATTATGCATCTCTAGATGGAAGAAATCTTAGGGATAGTTTACATCAATGTCCTCCTTTTTACAGATGAGGATACTGAGAGAGATGTAGTGATTTGCCTCAGGCTATGCAAATAATAGTTGATGGAAGTGGAACTTGATGCACTGCAATGCCAGCTTTCAGATCTGATTATTTACAAATTTCCAAGTATTAACAAAGAAACATATTCTTGTTTAATTCATAGATGTTCTACCAAGTCATAAGAGAATTGTCACCTGTGGTTACATGTGTCTTTCTCCAAATGTACAGAAACGAATTTGAAGTCAAAGAGACACTTTGGGTACAGACTAAATCCTTTCTATATAAGATGCATGTGGTTTTCTCAAACTGCTACTATAGACTTGTCTGAAGTTACACTACAGACATAATCTCCACTTGTTTAATTCTTATATCTAGGATTTTCCCCAGGAATGCAGAAGTACAGATGTTTATGCCTTGTTTGGGGGTGCTAGAAGAAAGAAGATGGAATCCTGGCTTTCTATTTTCCAGAGGAATCTTCCTTAGAATAGTCTCTCTTCCTATGTACCTCCATAATCAATTACTATGGTGTTTCTTAAGCAAATTACTTTCCTGCCCTGCTTTTCTCAAAATATGAAAATCCCACTGAGGAGGCACAAAGGGTTTGAAGGTAAGAGATGGCAAATGGACCATCGTGTTAGCTTCTTTCTCTAAAATTTAAAGCAGAATGCTCTCATTGCTAAGTGTGATTACCTGTGCATTAGATTTCAATCTACAGTACCAGTTATTATATGATAATTAAACATCAGTGTGTTATTAAAACATATTTATTGAAGTGTAACAACTATGCATTAGGCTCCTATCTTGTTATGATTGCTAAACCTCATTAAACGCCTGTTTTATAAGCCATGGGTATCTAATTTTCATTCAAAAATGCAGGAAGCATTTAAGCTAAACACATTGGTTTAAAGTGATTTCATTTGTACTTTATCTAACATATGCAACCTGATGGTTATTACTTTGTCTTTTGCACATGTGATTTAAATATCTCAGAACACCACCTGGGTAATGGTTATTTCTATATCACTGCATATCTCTCTGTTCTGACTTCATAGCAAGGAGAATTTATAGAGGCAATGCAGCCTTAGGGACGCAATGTACCCTTTAAGCTCTAGGTTTCCTATATGATAAACTGCTAAGGGTTCTGGTTTTTTCTTTTATAGGAAAAATCCATCAGATTTCATTTGGTTCATTGTCACTTATAAATGTTCTTATGGATAGGCCCTTTAAATGTCAAAAAAAATCCAATTGCGTAAATATTTACTAAATCAAAGACTTGTTTGAAACTTTCACTAAAAAAAAGAAATAGAACCACATTAGTAGCTTTAGAGTTAAATGTAGTACTACTGAATAAGTTCCTAGCCTTGAAACAAGATGGACAATTCTCATATTATTTGACTTCAGCAGCACAACCAGGGTATTTTCTTACCTGCCTCCAAGTGTTCCCTGCATCTGAAGAGACAAACATGCTGATGTCACTGTCTGATAATTCAGAACCTATATTACCTAGAGAAGCACATTAGAATTAGTGGAGGAATTTTCTGCAAAAGCTAACAATGGACCACTTTAGCAGTCTGCATTGTGTGAGGATTTTCATTGCAAACATTCTGTCTGAGCAGGGGTTTTCAGCATACTTGCTTCAGGGTCAATGGTTTAGGTGCCTTTCAAAAAACATTTTTAGCTTGTTCATTAAATTCCAAGCACAGATATCTAGCATCTTAAAAATAAATAGCATTTATAACAGTAAGCAAAGTGGGCAAATTTCTTACCTGAAGCAACTATGATACTTGGAGCTGTGTCTCTGCTGGCAATGATCCCTGATGTGTAGGGGTTCTCAGAGACCTTCAGGTGAAGATGCAATGAGCAATAGGGCTAAGAAGAGCAGAAATGAGTGTCATAAATGCACATAATCTAAATGGTCATTTAATGCTCAGATTCAGAGCATTCATCCCTCCAACCAAACAACCAACAAATCATCCCATCTATCCTTCCATCCTTGCATTCTTCTATCCATGAGTTGCACACATCCATCTACCCATCCACCATCCTTCATCCCACAAATCTAGTGTCTACTAAATGTAAGACAGCTTTAAAGTTGGTGAAAAAAGAAATCTTAATTTTAGATCTAATCTACTGACTTAAATATCATTTTATGATTTGATAATGATTTTATTACCTTACCTGTAAAACACTAGATGAAGTTTATGAAAGAATTATACATTACAAAATTTACAATTAAAATAGATAACACAAGATTTTATTGATTACTGTAAAAAGAGAGTATTTTAACAACTATAAAAGACAAAATATTATGAGATCCTAGAAGGTGAAGAGATATGGTCTACCTCTGGATTAGTGAAGGCTCCCAGGAGAAAATGGTGTCTGAGGCAAACATAGATAGGCTATGAATGCAGAGGAGATGGTCAAGAGGTGCAAATACAAGAGCTGAGTAGGCAGGTAAGATTAATGATGATAAATAGGATATGAGCCAGGAAAGAAGGCTGACTCAAGCTGGAAGGGCTGTGAAGAAGTCAGTTGGTATCTCTTAGTCATCCTCTATTTCAGGTCTTAGTCTCAGTATAAAAAAAGTTGTACAACATGTGAAACTGTCCAAATATCCATCAAGCAGTGGACATAGAGTCTCGATCAGGATATTATCAGAACCAGTTTGTTCATATTGGTGCACATTAATTGTATAAAGTAATAGGTTTCATTTGAGATTTTTATGTATGCATATTAACAATATTCATCCTTTTGCCCTGTCTTAGCCCCTCTCAGTTTTATTCAGTATAAAACTTATACTTGTAGACAAAATGCATTAGCAATAAAATTTTAAATGAAAGTTTAGGGAAATAGTTTATCTGTGCTTCAAAACCTTGACCAAATTTTCTAATTAAGATATCAATAGTTTTTTGAGAGAAAAAAAGAATAAATCTTATATGAATTTTGCTTTAAATAGTCCTCGTACTGAGCTGTCAAAAAAAACAAGTTTGTGTTTGAACCCACATTTCTTTTTCATCTCTCAGGAAGATTACATTCTAATCTTATCGACTTGAGTTTTTTGAATCACCAGTGTATCTCTGTTATTACTTTTATTCTGCTCTGTAAGTCTCAGCCAGCAGATATTCAGAGAACTATGGAGATACAGTGATTAAATTTATATAGGATGGAGTAAATGACAAACTAAAATTGAAACTCAGGAATAAAAACAGCCAAACACAGACAAAATAAACCAGGCGATTACAATAGGATCTTTTCTTCACTGCCAACACAAAAAGCAGAACTCTCAAGGACCAGTAAATTATTGGTTTTGTATGAAAATTTCATGTAAAGCTTTCCAAAAAAGTTTTCACTTTATAGTGTTCTGTAAGACTAAGGAAGACAGCTCGGGAAAGTAGAAACACTAGAGCTAAACACTTGGCCTCCTTTGGTGGGAGAGAGAGTAGAACAGGTATTGTTCAATGTTTCAGAGGCTCCAGGACACTCAGAAAATGTTAAGAGAGAATGAAGTGGGGATGTCAAACAATGGTTTCTCCATGAAAACAAAACTTTTTCCATGAAAGTTTTCCTGCATCATTTTGACATCTCCCCTTCTAAGATCTACCACAGTTTATTTTACCATACACATCTTGTATTATCTATATCAAGGGTGGCGCAGTTTTATCCCCTTACGAGGTACACTCTACAAATGAAGAGAACACATCAAGTACTGTCTTGCATTTTCTTTAGAATCTTGCATAGAACTAAAAAAAATAATAAAAACTTACAATATCAAGTGATGCTTTTTGATTAGGGGCTGGAAAGCATTACTATTTTACTCAGAACAATGTTAGCAGTATAGGGACTTGATTACAAATTGCATTAAACAAACTAATGTAGTGACCATCTCCATGGCCGTCCAGAAGTGCCCTACAGCTTGGAGATTATTCCTAGACATAAAGGCTTAACGAAACCATTAGTATCACCTCACAGAACAGGACACTACTGGACACTAGAGACCAAGTCTGCAATCTTGAGCCAGCTGATTGCCACAGCTGCAAGACTGTGAAGCTCAGCTGCCACCTAAGCCAAGCATTATTTGGTATGAGAAACTTGCCATAGCAAAGGAAAGAGGGTATTTCCAATTGGTTATCTCAGCGCTGCTCTGTTGCTATGGTTTTTGGAGGGTCATGACATAGGAATTTGAGAAGAAAAGGCACCAGTTCATGCAGTAGCAGCAACATTAGAAATGATCTTTTCAGTGCACTTTTTCTCCACTCTTATATTTGTAGTACTGGATTGCCCCCAGCTGGTACACGGAGAATATTCTGTGGGGTGTTTTTTCCTTTCTTTCATTTTTTTCAGTTTACATAGGTGACATGAATGTTTGATTAGATGACTGATCTTTGCTTTTTTTTAAAATTAAACTTTTGTACTTGACCAGTTTTAGATATGCATTAATGTTACATCACCAAAGATTGATAAAAAGGTTTATTATAGTAATGAACACTGAGCTGCTCCAAGTTCCTGGGGGACACAGGACAAGCCACCTGGATTTTTGTGCACATTATGCTCAAGTAGAGACACTTTGTAGACCTTCTCTTCCATTCTTCCTGCCTTTCTGCTTTCTTTTCTCTCACTAGCAAACAGGTGCTGAGCATCAATGACATGCTCATACTCACAGCTATTGCTTTTACCTTTTCAGGGTTGTCAGCAACACAATAAAGCCAAAGTGCAGTGTGTTTCAGGGGCAGTTCTTTATATCCTTAAGAAAACATAGCAATGAACACTGATTCCACCAATGATGTACAGTCTAACTTACAGAGGATGGAGGGACCAGTATGCATATTTTGAGAAGTTTTCCTTTGTGTATTTATGTAGTCATAGGAAATAGCATAACATCAACTGTCCATTTCTAGGAGCAATTAGATTCTTACTCTTTAATCTTTAGAGGACCAGAACATAGTTTGAAAATCTGGTACAAATTAAAGATAATAATAAAGTGCACAAGACAAGTGCACAATTTCATTCTATCTAGGGAGTTCAAAAGTGCTGGAGTCCATCAGTATACCTCTAGGTCCTAATTACCTTTCTTTTGACATGTTCATTTTTATCTTTTATTTTAACCAGCAAAATCTATTGACCATTGCAAGTATTCCATAAATGTTGGCTGCATTTAATTGATTCATTAATTTTTTCAACTCAGATACTTACCATGTATTCTTCCTGCCTAACTGAAACATTGGATTGACCAACATCTCTCCATTCCTCCAACTCCCAGCCACTCTGCTTTCCCCTCCTATGAGTCTAGTTGTTTTATTTTTCAAAAAAAAAAGTGAGAACATGGGATTCTTGTCTTTCTGCTGTATTTCAGTTAGCATAATGCTGTCCAGGTGACCTATTGGTTACCTACTATGTTTCAAGCTCTGTGGATAATCTTGGGGAATCATTAAATAGTAGAAGACATTTCTCACCATGAAATAAATAAATTTGACAAACTGTTAGAGATTATTTGAGAGCCAACCAGTTTCAGATTCCATTCTTTCTCCCAAATGTCTGTTAACTAGTCTTTTTTTTTCTTTTATTCATATGTGCAATACAATGTTTGGGTCATTTCTCCCTCCTTCCCTCCGCCCCTTCCCTTAACTACAGTCTTTAAAGCTTATCTCCATAGTATCTTTACCCTTTAACTACTAATCTCAAAATTGAACTGAAAAGACAGATCAGAACTTTCAAAAATAACAAGGTAGAAGGCATGTCCTTAAATAAGATCCCTTTACCCCCACTCCCTCTACACACATACTTTTCACAGTTTTGATTCTGAGTTGAAGCTAGGAATCAAATAGGCCTTCAGTAAAGAGTCAGTGGAAATTCAAACATAATACTCATGTCTAATCCTAGCTACTCCACAGACAGAGATCAGGAGGATGGCAGTTTGAGGCCAGCCTGGGAAAAAAGTGCATGAGACCCCATGTCAACCAATAAAAAGCTGGACATACTGGTGCATGCCTGTCATTGCAGCTATGCAGGAAGCATAAATAGGAGAATTGTAGTCTAGGCTGGTCCCAACATAAATGTGAGACCCTATTAAAAAAATAATAAAGGAAAAAGGGCTGAGGGCATAGCTCAAGTAGTAGAGCAAGTACAAGCAGCAAGCATAAGGCCCTGAGTAGTTCAAACCCTAGTACCACCAAAGACAGAGAGAAGAGAGGGAGAGAGAGAGAGAGAGAGACAGAGAGACAGAGAGACAGAGAGACACAGAGAGAAGAGATGGCAAAGAAGAGGGAGGCCATCAGACCAATTGCTGGAGAATTGGGTATTTGGCCCCACTCCAATCCAATACAATGTGTAGAATCACAGCTAGAGCAGGGGATGTGGAGTCATGAATCTCCTGGGTGCAGCTGTCTGCTCAGCTCAGGTAAGAAAAAAAAAATTCTGCTACATGAATCCATAAAGAAGTCAGGACCTCTCTCCATGAACACGGTGCTTTCCCCAGGGCTCAAGGATTTGTCACAGGCTCAGCTCAGCTCACATGTTGCCTCTTGGGAACCAATCCGGAGGCTTTGGAGGCAGTTGGACCATGACCTGTAATACCCTATCTAACTGCACAATGCCGTCTTCAGAGGAAAGAAATCCCAGCTGAGCCCTCCGGGCAATCAGTCTGAAAGTCCTAAAAATATAGCCCCAAATTACCCTGAATGTCTTATTTCTATAGAATACATTTTACCAGGGACATTCCATTTGGTGCTGTAATTCTGAACTTGTTCCACATTTGTAACAGCCCTGCTGGAAAATCTCTTTTCTAATCACTAGGCTGTGCTTTTGGTGACACTGTCACTTTCCAAGTACTCACAATCTAAAATCACTTTTTATCTCTTCTCTGCCACCAGCTCCCAAGCCTAAAGAAGGTTTTTAACAGTCTGGATCTACTGTAGCTCAAAGATTTTCTTTCCTATTTTGAGCTTTGGGCAGATTTTTATAAAGTGATTTTGGTCTTTCTTCTTTACTCCCTTTGTCATTTTCCCCTCCTCACCCTGCTGCCTGTTTTTTAACGGTCATATTGAAACTGTGTTAAGCAACATGGTTAATGAGGGGGGAAGGACCACAGACTCCTGGGTACCATACATCTACCATCCACATCTGAATAACTCATCTTTCCTTAAGTTTAATGAGTCTCTTGATTGTGTTAACTATGGGGTCAACTTGAGTCCATGAGCTTCAGAAGGTGTGTGTTACAACAAATCCTCAGTGTAACTCTCAGAAGCAATACATGGCTTCCACTAAAGTCCAAATGTAAAGTTCAAGCATCTTTCAATGGAGTGCCTATTTCAAACACAGGGAACACTCACGTGCTACACACATGTTGAAGGTCAGCTAGCTCCACAGGAATGGCCACAAAGACAGTCACAGTTCCTCTGTGACTCACATGGAACACATTTAAGATAAAGATGGCAAGAACATCAACAAATGCAGTCACTGATTTCAGAGACCTATGAGGGTCATAAAGAAAAAGATTTGTTGGGACCAAATTTAACTTTCTCAAGAAAGCTATCTCAGAAAAAAGGACCAAGAAAAAGCCTTACTAGGAGAAGGCCATTTTAAGAAAACAAATAGGATTTTTCTTTTATTTAGAGGTACTGGGGTTTGAACTCAGGATTTTGTGCTTCTAAGCAAGGGCTCTGCCATTTGAGCCACACCTCCAGCCTTTTTTGCTTTAAGATTATTTTGTATATAGGATCTCTTGTTTTTACCCTGGGATACCTGAACTGTGATCCTCCTACCTATACCTCCATGTAGCTGGGACAATAGGATGCATAAGCATGCCTGGCTTATTTGTGGACATAGAGTCTCACTAATTGCCTGAATTGGCCTCACAGTACAGTCCTCCAGATCTCTGCCTCCCAAGGAGCTGGGATTATAGATGTGAGCCACTGCACCTGGGAAGAAATAATAGGAAATTCAAATACCCTAATATATAAACGAACATAGCAAGTTTAAGGTGTACAAAGAAACATATCCTACTCCACAATGTCTTGTGTGTAAGGAAAACAGGAGGGAAATACTGCAGACCATGTAGAAGTAGACAAAGGCCAGAAAATATAGGACCTTACCAGTTCATAATAAAGTATTGGACTCATTCTACCTACAGTAGAAAACCATTAGAAGCTAAAGTAAACAAGGGGTATGATCTGTTTTTTTCAAAAGTTCAAGTTGATAGGCTTTCATAAAATTGGAGAGAAGAGATATAATATACAATAAAGGAAAGAAAAGTGGTGTTGTCTAAGTCTGGAAATGTGGTTCTAACTACAAAGGAACACAGACGAACTGTTCAGCATGACAAAAAAGCGCTATCTTGACTGTGGTAGTGGATACATGGTTATACATAGTTCTCAACATTCATTGAAGTATATTCTTAAAATGGATGATATGTATATATGTATATAAGATTTATATACACGTATGTATGATTTACAAAAAGGTCACATTGGCTACCTTGTGAAAACTAATTGCCATATTGAAATGGCGGCACCCATTAGGAGATTATCAGTATGGGTCAGGTGGGTAATAATTGTTAGGACAGTCTCAGTGGAGATAGGGAAGGAATCTGATACTGCATTTTGGAGGCATTACAATATGATTTCATGATTCTGAGTTGGGGGTGGAACAAGGAACACCGTGCTAAGTGTTTTTGTTTAAGAGCCACTTTCAAAAGTCCATTTATGGTGCCAAAGATCCCAGGCAAGCCTGCTTAGGTGACATGGTTAATTCTCTGTCATAGGCATTGATCTCCAAAGTGGAATGGTGGATGCTATTTAGGTACTGGCACGTTCCATGCATCCTTGGTTAAATATCATAATGGTTCAACCTCGAATACCTTAGCAAAAATGTAGCCTTTTGTCCTCAGTGCTACGTAACTGTGCCTCAAATAGTGGAGGTATTCAATAAGTAGCTGTTACATTTATTTAGTCTGACTGATTTTGTGCACTCCTCATCACAACTGGCTGTTTCTTTCCCTGCGAGTTGCCAGTAATAAGGATGGAAGCAGAGTGGGAGGTTGAATTTTACAGTGCTTTTCTGATGCCCGGTGACAACTGAAATATCATCTGCAACTAATAAGGTTAAGCTATATCTGTTGGCATCTTCTCTGGTAGGAATGTGACCCACCTACAGCTGTGTGAAACAAACCTGCAAGGTGACTTTCCAGGCTTCACAGGACAGAAGGAAGCAGAGTAAGGATAACATCAAAGTCAGAGTTGAGTGAAGAGTGTAAATGATGATTGTTGGATAGGTAGGTAGTCAGGCAGGTAGAGATAGATAGATAGACAGACAGACAGACAGATAGATAGATAGATAAAGACTGTATATATACATACATGTATACTAAGACCTTCTTACCACTTCTTAAAGTTAAGTGGTTTTCCCTCTAAGCTTACATACTTGCCATTTTTTTATGAACTTACATACTTCTGAACTATTTTACATAAAATAATAGCATTAATTTAATAATATTCTGGTTCACAATTAATGTCTTCTGCATTTTCTCCATATCTATTATTGTCATGTACAGAGCATCAGAGCTAATAAGAAAAGTAAGATGTGACCCTGAAATCTTTAATTTATTAATATAGACTCACTCGAATAGATAAGAAGACTAAGCATCTCTTAAAGGCAAGATCATCTTTGATCCTTCTCTTGGATATCATTGTATCATTGAATATATTAAATAATTTCATGCCAATGTACTCACTGACCAAGTAAGATAACTAAAAGGAAGCCATAACTAAAAGCAGGCATCAGCAAACTTGTTTAAAGGACCAGAAAATAAATACCTCAGGCTTTGTTGATTATATATTACTACTTGATTATGTCATTGTAGAGTGAAAGCAGCTGAAGACAATACACAAAAGAATAAATATGACCACGTTTCAGTAAAGCATTATGCAGAAAAACAAGGGGTGGGTTATATTTTACCCACAGGCCACAATTTTTGCCAACTCAAGCCGTACACAGCAAGACAAGTGAATAGAACATATTACCAAGAAAACAAATGGAGGTTTAAGTCAGTCATCCTTAACCCTTTGTTGAGTCATAAATTTCTCTCAAAGCGTGATGAAACATTTTCACAGGGAAATACACTATTGTGCATTCAGTTCACCAATTCTATAGCTAAATGTATGAGATCATGAGATCTGTATCAGGTGATTTTCATGAGAAAGAGGATTTAGGGAATATCCTCAGTGAAGATATAAACTATCATATTCTAGCATGTCATTCCTCAAATTGCCATTGGAGGGCTTCATCAGAACATGGACTGAAGAGCTGGAAATATAGCTCCATGGTAATATTTGTTCTTAGCAGAAAAGAAGTCCTACATTCAATTCCTAACATACACACACACACACACACAGAGCCCAACACACAGAGAGAAAGAAAGGATCCTGAAAGTAATCACGAGTTTTAGCCATGTTCCTTATCTTTCTGGCACATCACAAAAGACAGGCTGTAACTCTTATTCTGCCTTCACACCCTGCCCTACACATTTTGTTCTTTAACTGAGCAGAAGTCCAAGAACTATTTTTTCTTCTCATTGAACACCATTATTTGCTCCATCATGAAGACTTACCAGCAAACAGTGCACGGGGTCCCCCCTCAGATCTGTGTCTGGTGCCTGCAGCAAGCGCCAGTCTCTGCCTTTGTTGTATGTGATGAAAGTCTTCACTTGGTTTTCAATCTTCTTGTTAGCCAAGAACATTCCCTTTATCCCTGCTACCTGGGAAAAATTGACATGGCTGAAAAATACATCAATTTGAGGAGCAGGGACATATTTGTTTACATTAAAAAATGTCAAATTCAGCCAAGAGCACTTTTCTTGGAGGAAAGACAGGGTCAGAATGGAGGAGGGTAGATTCTTAGATATAGTAACTTCCCAGACTGTTGGATAGAAAGCAAAAGGTTGGCGCACCTATTGTACAGGAGTCATAACAGAAGTTTGGTAAAGGCTTATAATTACCCTAAGATAGGTTTGTAGCAGCCTTCAGTTTCCAAGAAGTAATCTCTGGAGCTTATAATTCCATTACTTGGCAAGTAAAAAAATAAATAGGGGCTACTATTATTGTACATTAGACTAGTACCTAGAATCCTAAATACTTTAACTCATTTAATCCTTTAACGTTCCTCTTGGATAAGAATTGCTTATTCTATTTCACATGTGAGGAAATTTGAGGCAAATTTAGATAATGTGATTTGCACTATAGTCATGATATCCAAGGACACACAATAAGTGTCAGATCTGGGATTTTAATGCAGAATTCTGTGGCTTCAAAGTTCATATCAAAATTATTGAGCTATATGCAGCATTAGGAAATGAATGAGGTCAGTTAAAGACTCTTATATAATTACTGTATTCTTTTTTTCCTGTTAAAGGTCTCCCTGTTAAACCACCCAATTCACTAAACATTAGTGAAGACCTTTTAAATAAGCAGTAGTTTCTCTAAGTCATCAAATAATCCCTACCCCATTCTTAAAACAGTGTTATTTTTATCAAAAATAATTTCTTCCTCACTTCTATATGTTAGGAAAGAGGTAGTAATTGGCAAATTGTCTAAACTGTGCAATAATAAGTCATCAAATAGTACATTATATTTCCAGGTGTTCTAGAGTTTGTCAAACACATATTTTACCTTGTGTGAAATGACCATCACCCAAGAAAACTGGAGGACAGTGAAGAAAAGGATGAAAATGTGTGGATAGTGTTTTCCATCTTTTGATGCTCACAATAACTGTGAGATAGAATTTTCATTAGCCACATTTTGAGGACAAGAAAATAGAGACTTAGGTTATGTAGCTATCAGTAACACACACAAGGAGTAAGTGAATAAGCTAGTAAAAGTATTTGAAACCACTTAATTTAGCTCAGGCCCTGTAAATTACTAATATGATAAGGCACAAGATTAAAACAATAGCTGTCATCTTTTTAATACCAAACACTATGCCCAGATCCTCATACATAAACCTTCCAATACTCATTACAAATCTCTATAACAGCCTTTATCCAAATTATATGGATGAGGAAACTGAGGTATAGAAAAAACTTAATTGTCTAAGATCGCAAAGTGTTGGATTAACTCAAATCTCTCTGCCCTCCAAAATTCTTTCAACCAATATAGCTCTGAATTTGTCAATTCAAAGAAGTTGGGTTTCAATCAGTAGAAGACACATGTTTTGCCTTTGCTTTTGACAGAGTCAGACCTCATTAGTTTGTACCTGCTGATTTAGCATCTGGGATAATTTAGAGCTGAGCCAAATTTGTACTCCTTTGGAACAAGTTTGTTAAACAAATAAATGGTTTAAACGAGTTGCTGAGAGGAATGCTTTGAAGTATTTAGGAAAACAAGCCACATTCAGGGCAATCAACAGCAGCCAAAACCATTTCTTGTGCATTGTCGATCCTCAAGAAATGTGGAAGGCATAAACTCCAGGAGCATTCTGCCTCCCAACAATACTGTGTTAATTACAACTAGTATTTTAGTTGTTCACTATACCAGCTAAATAAGCACAACTTACCAGGAACCTCCATATTACTTTTGCGTGAGATCAAGAGGCTGTTATATACTTCAATATGACCAAACTGCCAGTTCTTTAAAAATTAAATTGTATAAGTCAGAATTTTCACAAAGTTATGCTGGTGTTCCTTTTTTACCATACACAGAAATGAGAAACGACTCTGTCTTAGCCATTCAGTACTCTAGGGGGTTACAATAAGTGCAGAAGGAATAAAAATGTTACCTATTCCAGTAGTTTCATTCTCTGTTTTCCTTCCTGCCCTCTCTTTCTTTTGGAAGAGGTGTCAGAGCAGGGTTATGCATGTTTAGGAGCTGGTTCATTTGATTTGCACAAGTGGTGACTTTATTGGCCCCCGACTGCTTGGCATTATCAAATGCCACTTGAACAGAGAGCTGTGCTTTGTAATTCATGTTTGGCAGCCTGGCCTTCAGGTTTATCTTGAGGAATAAAAACTTGGCAAAGTAGAGGAAATGTGTGTCAACAGGGGATAGAGTTGGAAAGGTTCTGCTTATTTTCCTCTTGCAGCCAAGGCACTTTATCCATTTGAGGTGTCTTTTTACTGTTTTGCTCCTTTGGGTTGGTCTGCAAAGATGGTCACCCTTGCCCTTCATTGTTGCTTTCACTGTGAGCTTGCTGCATCCATCTTTCTATGTTTCACTGTAGCCCCTATGCATGAGGCACTTTGTCCAATGCTATTTTGTAAAGGCTCATCAGATTCTTGAAATCTTTACAAAATCTCTATTTAAATGATATAATTAGTGCCCCAAATATGGAAATTGTGAGTGTTCATGTATGCATGTGTGTTTTTGTTTGCATGCACACACATGTGTTTTGTGTGTGCGTGTGTGTGTGTGTGTGTGTGTGTGTGTAAGGTGTGGTGGGTTCCCAATGTGGATGAGAGAGTATGTATAGGTTCTCAGAAAGCCTTGCTCTGTGTCTATACTACATGCATATTTGAGGAATGGAGTGGGGCTGAGGGATGGCGCAGGGTGGAGCAAAGTATTAATGCCAATGGAAGTAATGCCTTCACATACACTGGAATTCTAATAAAGCTATTCTCATGAAAATGATTCATCTTGCTCTTGGAAGTTTGTCTTCCATTGGGAAAAGACCTGTTAAATTTTATGCCTGTTGAATTCTGCATAAATATCTCTGAGAATGATGAGTGTGCTGATAAGCTACTTTTGTTTTCTTCTCATATGGCAAAATTTAATACTAGAAGTTGCAAAGGCAATTCATAGTTATTTATTATTACTTACTATCAATGAAGCCAAGATACAATTTTGATTATACTTTAAATATGAAGTACTATAGCTCAAACCTCAAATGTAACAGGAAGCATGTCAACATATTTATGGACCAGATGACAGTCTCAAAATGCTACCTTCCTTCTCATATCTTGCTGTCTGTTCAAAAGGCCACTTCTGAATCCCTTGGACAGCCTACTGATATGTCTCTACTTACTCATCCCTCAAGGTTGAGCTCAATTAGCTTTTACCAGAAACTAGAATCTGTTTTTGTCCTGGTTGATTATCACCAACACTTCTCTTTTCTTCAATTTACCCTCATATTCATTGTACCTACATCTTGGTTTCAAAAACAGTGAATCTTCTCATTGGTAGCAATCTTCCCATAAATTTCTCTTATACTCTTAACTATCCTTATCATAAGTTAACTCAAATTTTGTCTTCTCTTGTGATCTCTCACATCATGGTTTCCAACCCTAATGCATACAACCCTTGGATTGTCATTACTTCACCATATTGTATCTTCAAAATTAAAAATAGTAAAGTTACTTTGTGCAGGGGCCCCAATTTTGTTTTAAATAAAATAGGTCATGAGAATTCTGTATTTTAAGATATAACAACAAATAATAGTCACCTAAATTTATTGTTTGCTTATGAAGGGTCAGGCACTGTATGAAAGACTTTTACAAACTGAGCACATGAATCTTTCCATGTACTCTAAAGGGTAAAGTCAATATTAGCTTCATTTTGCAGATTAATAAACCAAGGTTCAGATGCAGCCAATCACTTGCATAAGGTCATTCATCTAGTGAACCTTGGATCTGTACTTCAAGTCAGTCTGATTAGCTCCAGACTTAACCCTATGGTTGTATTATTTTTGCAAACTTCTCTCTCATTATCATGAGAGAAATACCATATTGGGATGTCGTGCTTACAGAAACCTATTATTTAATTGTTTTTCAATATATTTCCTCAATAGTCATTTAATACACATTTCTCAGTATATATTATGTATCATGCACCCTTTCATTTTATTTTGAGAGAGGATCTTCCTGTGTAGCCCTGGTTGGCCTTAAACTCCATGTGTAGCCTGGGCTGGCTTTGAATTTGCAATCTTTCTGTCCTCAGCCTCCCAAATGCTGAGATTATAGCATGTACCACCACTCCTGGCTTTCATGAACTCTTTTTAAGCACCGAGATGTAAGACCTGGAATATCTAAGCAACTATACCTTAATTCAACAAATGGTTTTTGAAGATGAGAATGTAGTAGGTGCTAGGAATTGGGATTTCCTATATGATTAAAGGAAGAACCTTAGATATTGCCCTTGTTTTTCGTGATTTCTCTCTAGATAGTTCTCTCCTGTACCAATCTTTCAAATGTCTCACATGGAGGTACATGTACCCTGTGCTGGAGTTTTCACTCATTTCTGCCTCTGATGCTGATGGTGAGATGATAACTACAATCCTCTTAATACTAAATCACAAATTTTACACAGCTACATTCAAAGAGAATAATGAAGATGAAACAACCATGACAAGAAAGACAATATTTTCATGACCATATTTTCTTTGGCTGTTGGATGGGATATTTTGATCTTATAAAGGAAAGGTCCCAGCCAGGAAATACACACACAGAGAAGAAGCCCAGGCTGGTTCTGCAATGGGGAACCCACTTGATAAGAAAATGTCTAAATCTTCTTTCTTTCCCCTTTACCTGATCAAACAGACTTTCCTCTTGAAAAGATAGTAGCCTATTCTAAATCATGTGATAAATATGTATTGGGTTAAAGAGTATTTTTATTCCCAGCTTCCTAACCTGGCTTAGAAGAGGCAGCTTTTTGCCAAGAAATCATGGTATAAGCTATATCATCACAACTACTGAGTTTTCTTTTAGAGAGAGGGCACACATAACATGTAGAAGATACTGTATGTGCAGCAGAACATATTCTTTCCTGATGCACATCATGGTTCTTATGTATACACACATTCTGTACTTTCTGAACTTGTCAGCCAGGTGGTTTCATTCCCAACATAGTCTTTTCCTCTCAGCTGGGGTGAACTGTCATTGTCCATTAAGCCAAACTGATCCTCAACATCATTAATTAATATTCCCATCCCAAAGGAAGGAAGATATTGTCCCAAGCTGTCAAACTCCTTTTCATCACACACACTACACAAATACACTAGGAACCATGTTTCTCATACACAAACAACACGTCTTGTCTTCTCTGACCACCATCAAGTATGCTGTCTTCTGTTATTCAAGTCACATTATGCCACCAGAATATTTGTGTTGTTCAGGAATAACAGAATTTTAACTTGCTTCCAGCCTTTTCTTACATATATACATCTACCAGTCAAAATTAGGAGCCAGGAATAATTACTACTTGAATTTAGCTATAACTCAGGACTTGATCAGAAGGTGGTGTATACTTGAGAGACATCACTTACTAATTCTCTTTACATTGACTTTTCCCCCAGTTTTGTTCTTCCACTGCTAAGCAAAGTCTAACACTACTTGTCCTGCCCTGCAGTGTACTTCAATATTGACACTATTACTCATTCACAATCAAATACAAGCCCAGATATTGATCTTTCAGAGATGACATGGTACTTTCTAGTTGAGATTTTGCATATGCTTAGATTTAGGTGCTAAGTCTGCTTTGCAATCTTGCGAAAGTGGCAGTTGTCTTCTCTCAACCTCTATTTACTTAATGAAAGAAACATAATTATAGTGCTATATCCTAAAGTTAATATATGAATTAAATGAAAGGACTATGAAAAGTTCTTTACTCAGTGCTTTACACATAATGGCACCCAAAATAACATACTCCATTTTTAATATGTTTCCTCTGTAGCCAACTTTCCTGACTCACATTTCATGATCATCTTGAATAAGGTATCTGTTCAATGACCAATTCACATAAGAGAAAATTCTGGTATTTCAACAACTAAACAAGGAGACTTTCCCCCAACAGTTTATCCTCAACATTTTCTTGCCTTCTTCCATATACATATATAGTTCTAGAGCAGACAGCACAGAAATTGTAGCAAGATTTGATGTGTTTATGAACAAAACAGTTGGTTTTAATAAGAATTGTGCTTCCTTCTGCATTTTCTACAAAGACACATCAACTGTGTGTATGTTTGATACACAGACCCATCCATACACTTACATTTTTTACAGTTCACCTCTGCTAAAATTGCCTAAAGAGCTTACAAATACAGAAATAGCAGGTAATTGGTAGAATTGCAGAAACTTACAAACAACAAATGGCATCCTCCCCAGTCAGCCCCACATGTGAGCTGACATGCACCACATGTATTTCATTCCTGTCCCCTTCACCTCAGATGTTGCTCATAACTGTTTCTGATTAATTCATTTATGGATTTTCTTACTTTTCATTTACCTCTAAGCTCTCATCATTCATTGCAATTCTACTGGGAAATTCATGCTGGATGCCTTTCAGCTTCCTGCTAGCCAAAACAATCAGATTTAAGGGAACATTTGTGCCAGGCTTCGTGTCCGCCAATATTCTTTCTATCTAGGTAATCAGCAGATACGGCACTGCCGTTCTGATCACATCAATTTCAATTCAAGTTGCTGTGAACTGTCAGGCTAATAAAACAAAGGCACTTCTCTCCCAACCTCAGCATCCAGAACACCTTTCCATAATGCAGTCATGCCACTGCTCAAAGTGATGATAACAGGAGATAGCAGTTGCCTACAGAGTCAACTGCAAGAAAGCACAAAGGGGAAACGCAGAATTAACAAAGAAATAATTGTCAGGTCTGGGTGGTCACCCTGCTCCCTCTTCTCATTCCATTCCTGATACTGATGTTTGAATTCATAAAACCATTTGTGAAAATAGTTGCAAATAACCAGGCATTGCAAAGTCATTCCTGTCCAGAACTTTCATTTTTCCCACCATCAAGGGTCAACTAAAATGGTCTCCATTTCTTTCAGAAAATAAAATTTATCCAGAAAATCTGTTCTGAATTGACTTGAAAAGAAGGATGAGAATAATCAAGAAAGGAGAAAAGGGAACTAGAAAAACTTTGAGAGACTGAGGACAGAACTAGGCCCAGGAAAGAAAATTGAGTGATTAAATTGGAACAGCTGCTATGACTTAGCACTAGCTGGACACTTGGACAAAGTACTTCCATTTTAAGTGCTGGATTAAGTCAAGCCTTGATCTAGCTTTTCAATACAACATACTGCAAGTTTAAATATTTATAGGGCATTTACAAAGGAGGAAAGAAATGTGCCAATTTACCCTTTATTATAATAAGACAACTAGTTGGTGTTAAAGAATGTCATATGGCTATGCCAATTGCAATATGGAATGAAGTGGAAATTCTAAATAACCGAAATGTATAGGCAATTTAAATCATGTGGGTCTTAAGTCTATAAAACAGTAGAATATTGTATTTTGTTTAGACACATCAGAAGATGATATTAATTATGCTGTCTATAATATGTTGAACAATACTGCATTTCAGGCATTGTGTTCAGTACTGTACAAGTATTAACTCAGTTCATCTTCAGAGAGATCCAACAGGTGTCACATTCATCTTTATATTTTAAACAAGGAAGCTATAGCTCAGAAAGTATAAATTTGTCTTAAGAATCTTTACAAACAGCACAGTGAGGATTTAAATCTAGGTAACCCAAATCCAAAATCAATACTCTAAATCAAATTTTACCCAAAATGAATTTTAATCTAAATCATCAGAATATGTAAATGTTTTCCAGAATATAGTTGAGGGTGAGATGTTTGATCTGCTATCTGAACCACATGAGGGACAGAAATGGAGGAAAAAAAATGTCTTGGGAAATTATGAGAAAATTTGCTCTGCATGTTCCTAAATACAAACATACAGTTTACTGTATGCAGCTCAGTGTTAGAGTGCTTGACTGGCATGCACGAGGCCCTCAGTTCAATCCTCAGCAGCAAAAAGGACAAAAAAAAAATACACTCTATGTCCTATGTAAGTTTGTCATATTACAAATACATGGACTCTGAATTGGACCTGTAGTTTATTAACATACCTTTTCCCACAGAGAAAAGTTTATATACTAGAACATTCTTATGAACCCCTGAAGGATAAGAAGATAGAAAACACTAAGAAGAATTACAATGATAAGTCTGAATTTCTTAAGTGAAATCGGTTTCTTTCATACTGGATATAACTCCCTTGCTTCTTGTTACACAAACAACCACTTGACTCCCTGAACTTATCCTCAACCAAATGATAGTGTCATTATGACTATACATATTTGAATCCATTTTAGATTTTATTCACATGGAATATAGGTACATGATTGCACTTCTAGAATTCTGAATATGTTTTTAAGTGGCTCATTATAACCCATTATAAATCCTTCATAGTGCATGATAAGACTGACAAATGGCTAACATCTGGAAACAGTAGCTTTCTTTCCACCTAATCGTGCCTTAAAGGGCAATTAAAGCTTTGGTGTTTGTCATGAAAGCTGACTGATCCAACATATACTTTTTTATTTTGAATCTGGGATATTTTGAGAAACCAAAACCCATAGTTCCCTTAGGAAGTCTGGTAAGCTGCTTTTGTTGTTGTTGCTTGTTAATTTATTTTTCCAGGTTCAGTTAAAAGAAAAAAAAAGGACCTCTTATTCTTATCTCACTCCCTGGCCCAGGTATAGGAAGGCCATTAACTAAGGGAGGTTATTGAGTTACAGAAGTCTTCGAGGCCAACAGACAGAGAACTCTCTTCTGTATATATGAAAAATAAATTTCTTAAGTAGTCATCATATTTTCTTTGTCAATTGTGGGTTAGTTGGCAAAATGGTGAGAAAATAAGATAGATGTTTAGTAGCTCAGTTATTATTTAATTGTTGTATTAGATAATTTGAATAATATTTTCTTACACATGTATGATTTTAGAGAACTAATCATCTTGATATATTTGCGAAGTTCAGACATGGCACTTGCTCAGCAAGCTTATGTGGGCAAATATGAGAACAATCTTCATAGACAGAAAGAAAACAGACAAACCTGCATCTCTCACTGTGGTCCATGGGCCAGGAGCATGGGTCTTACCTCTGACGGCATGCAAGGATGTCTCAATCCCCTTCACTCTTCTTCAAGAGAAATAAGGAAGTGCTGCCCATTGCTCCATTATACAGCACCCTATCTGCTCTTGAGAATGATTTTCAAATATCATATGAAGATCACTCTTGTGCAAACCCTTTAATTGACTGCCTCCCCAGGTACTTTCTAAGTCCTCTGAGGCTTCATATTCCTTGGACTTGGTCAAAAAATTATCCCTCCCAGAGAGTTCTGTGAATTGCAAATCAGGTACTAAAATGTTCTGGAAATCCCTCCAACTACCAAGTGGATTGAGTCTGCAACAGAAAGCAGCATTAAAGCGATCAGATGGCTCGTATTTCGCCAGTCAGTCCAGGGACTGCTGTGGCTTAGGACCACAATATGTGCCTGGTGACATACCTCATAGAGGTCAATCATGATGTTGCCCTCAGGGCCCCTGCTGCTCTGGACATTCTCCAAGGCCAGGGTGAAGTAAACACCACGCGCGTCCGAGATGTAGAGGTTGTATGTGTCGTTCTGGTTCCATTCTTGCACTGCTGCGAACACTTGGTTCTCATCTGTACTGATGACATGCATGTCCTGTATAAGACACAAGGAAGTGAAGAGAGAAGAGCGGTTTTACATGTTCACATGGAATGCATCTGAAAAGGGTGGAATAAACTGGAGCATTATGATGGAAGACAGAGAGCTTCCTATCGCACATAGGATAAATAATAATTAATTGCTTAAGTGTTCACCTATTTTATTTGTCATTTGTAGAGTTTGTCAGCAAGGTCATGAGAAAACAGGATAGAGAGGTGCTTGGCAGTCCAGTTACAATTTAATTGTCTTATTAATAATTTGAAGAATGCTTTCTTAAAAATGTAGAAAACTAATCATTCTGATAAATTTGCCAAGTTCAAACATGGTACTTGCTCAGCAAGCTTATATGGGGCAAATAAGAGAATGAGCCTCAGAGACAGAAAGAAAACCTGCATCTATCATGGACCAGCAGCATGGGTCTTATCTGCAAACTTGCCAGGTCCCATTGATTGAATTAAGCTATGAATCTTACTAGGATCTCTAGATGAAAATAGCATGCACATTAAAGTTTCAGAAGCAGTGCCCAAGAGTTCAACAACTCCCAGTGAGACCCCAGACAAAAAATGTTCACCCACAAACCCCAAAGCACTAATGTTCATGTTAGTGAGTAATTAAGGACTTAGTCGTTACTCTCAGCTGTTTTATAAGAAACCTTAAGTAAAAGAGAAAGCATAGTTATAATATTTCTAGTGGTCCTGGAAGAAGGAAACAAAGTGAAGGCAACAGGGAAGCAGGAGGCATTCTTCCTGAGGTGGGAATCCTAACTCATGTCTTTCCCATTCAGAACTCTGGAGGAGTGGAGTCTAACATAGACCAAAATTGACTGTCTCCAAGCAATGCTTGCTGACTCTGTTAGGGAATGTCTGTTGATATATTTTCTGCTGCCTTTTATCCTTTAGTCAAAACAGTATACAAAGTATAACTTCCAAAAACCATAAATCAAAACAAAGCAGAACAGAAAAACACTGCCAAAACTGAGTTGCATATAATCATAAATGCAGAAGAACAATGTTGACATATGCTTGGCCTTTGTGTAGTTTACCATACAAATCTTCATTACTGGATTATTCTCTATCCTTGAGAAGCTTCAGGAGATCTGGTAGTCTTTCCTGGTAACAATTCCAGTGTTAGAAAATTACTCCTAACATCTAAATTTTTCAATGTAACTTGAGTTCAAATCTTGGCTTTGTTATTCAGTCATGAAAATGAAACTCTATTCTTAGAATTTCTACTTTCAAACTAGAGGTAACAATAGCATGCTCCCCATAGAGTGGTGAAGATAAAAATCAGTAAGTGTTAAACACTTGTAGCAGAGCTCCATGCATGTTAGCTTTCACCAGTTAAGGGAGCCCTTATATCACCTTCCTTAGTTAAGCCAGGTTGACTTGGCTTTTCTGTTTTGTAAAAGTTAGAGTCCTCAACAAAAGGTAGTTCACTCAAATGATTTATTTCCAATGGAAAGAATTAGCTGTGGAAACTAGCTCTATTCTTCCATTGCTCCCATTTATTACCAAATCTTTATTTACAATGGAGTTTAGAACTATCAAATAACTACTCCAAATGAGTGTTTCCTTCTTTCAGCCCACTGCAATACAATCCTGAATTCAAGTTAAACTATTTCAACAGCAAAATGCTTCATCATAGGTAATTCCCACCACTGTGCCTGAGAATACGTATTTGGTTAAATACTCCTAGGCAGGGGCTAGATAGCATATCATTTATACTACCTTGCACAAACTTTAGATTTAGATTTTGAATTACAAACACAGACCCATCAAGTGTTTTGATTTAGGGCACTTAGAAACTAGTCACATAATGATAATATATTATGTTATCTCAAGATAAAGGGGTGAGATACAATCTCTTTTTCTTCACATAATTTAATTATATTAAACAGAATTTTTTTTTAAAAAAGATACTGAACTTAAATATTTATTTTAATTGAAAAAGATGACATATTTAAATACCACCTTTCTTTTTCCTTCTTGTCCAAATCCTCTTTCTCTATCAGGAAAATGTGTTCTTTCTGTTTACTAAATTACAGAATTTTAGAGCAAGATGAGATTAGATAGCTCTTCTGTTGGAGTCTTTTTAAAAATCTGTTCTATAGGATACCAGTATAGTTGGGTTTTTACAGATTAAAATGGTGGGGGGGGTGGGCACTCGTTTGCTAAAATATTTTTTCTGTTATTTGAGAGAGGGTCTACTATGTAGTCCAGGCTGGTCTCAAACTTGTGATCCTCCTTGTCTCAGCATCCAGAGCACTGGGATCACAGGTGTGTGCCTGTGATAAATTGTTTAATTCATGCTGAATTAAAGTGCTTTCTTGCCAATAAGACATTCAAGAATCTTCAACATACCAGTGAGCTATTGTTTATCTTCAGGGAAGGAACATGTAATGGAGTTTATTTCTTTTTAAAACTTACTTGATCACAGGACCAAATTTTTATAGAACAACACTAGGATATTTTATTCTGAGTAACAGATTTGAGAAAATATTATTTTAAATAAGCTCTTTATTTTTAAAAATGCATATGAAAGGAAAAATTGATAAACCAGTTATCCAGAGTTTCAAAACAAGTTATTGACAGATCCAGGTCCACATCTGGGTCTCCTGTTGTGAATCAAAATGCCTTCACACCACTGGCATCCAGTGCACATCAATCTTCCACCATGGAGACAACTAGATCCATACTAATAATAATATTACCTTGCTTTCATGTCCTCCAAAATGCTCCAAGCACTTCCATATGTATTGCCTCATTTATCTCACTTGAGTAGCTCAGAATGAGCTCCAAGTAAGTTAAGGGAAGGAATACTGTTACTACGTCTTTCTGTCTATAGGGCTGCATTAGAGGCAATGGCAGCATTAAAATTTACCCATCTCCTTCCTGATTTTCTTTACCATTATATTATTTTTAAAAATATGGCTCAGGGTGACTCTGGTCTTTCAAAAGCTGATAAAATGGCAGTAGATGATTAAAGAACATGTGAGCATGAAGATGCTGGTTTGTCTTGATTTCCTTTGCTCAGCTGAAGCTCTGTTTTTTTCCTGTTGTAGCAGCCCTGGCTCTGACAGAAGGCCATGGAATGTGTGCACCTTTTCTGCAAATCACTCCATCCAAGCTGGGGATTCTCTTTGAAGGTGTAATGGGATTGTAATGAAGCATCTCATTGCTTTATAAAATAAACACCCACATGGACCAAATAATCCATTCATTTGCTGTCCTACTTCCCATTTTTGTGGTAACAAGATAAACTAATCACTGTATTCACTCTAACCTCAGAGCTCAAATGAGCCTGATTCATGAAACATGCTCTTTGGGGAGCAGAAGGAAGGGGATAGACAGTCTATTCAGGTTCAAAGTAGAACTTTTACTTCCAGAGTGGCTAGATGGCTAGGTGGACAGCTGTCAGCAGAGATCTTTGTGATGGCTGTGGATAAGCAATGCAAAGTACCTGTCTCCCAGATCTCTAGAACAGGTTCACGAAAACTTCTTTGATTTTATTTTTTTCTTTCTTTTATTTTATCATTTTTATATTTACTTACATGTGTATACATTGTTTGAGCCACTCTCCCCTTCCTCCCCATCCCTTCCAGCCAGAAACCTATTCTGCCCTCTTGTTCTCTGATTTTGTTGAAGAGAAAACATAGGAGATAATAAGAAAGACACTGTGTTTTTGCTAGTTTGAGATAAGGATAGCTATACAGAGGGATTCCTAGCATTGCTTCCATGCACTTGTGTATTACAACCCATATTGGTTCATCTCTGCCAGAACTCTTCACTGTCTCCTGGTCCCTTTCCCATAGTGACCTCTGCCAGTTTAAGATTACTTTCTTAGTTCCTCTACAGTGAGCACATCAACCACATTCAAGATTTAGGTTTCCTTCCCTTGCCCTATTCCTCTTGTGCGCATTCTTCCCTTAGTGTGTGACCCATGTCCAATAATATTACTGCAGTTGTTTTGGTTCTATAATCTGCATATGGGAAGAACATGTGATTTTTGGCCTTCTGAGCATGGCTAACTTCCCTTAAGATGATGTTCTCCAGTTCCATCCATTTACATGTGAATGACAAAACTTCATTCTTCTTTGTTACTAAAATTCCATTGTGTATAAATACCACATTTTCATTGGTAGTGCACCATCTTGGCTGTTTCCATAGCTTGGCTATTGTGAATAGTGCTGCAATAAATATGAGTGTGCAGGTGTCTTTGTAGTAACCTGAGGCACATTCCTTTGAGTATACCCTTAGGAGTGGTATTGCTGGGTCATATGGCAGATCTATGTTTAGATTTTTAAAGAAACCTCCATAGTGGTTGTACTAGCTTACATTCCCACCAGCAGTGTATGATGGTTCCTTTTTCCCTGCATCCTTGCCAACATTTAGTGTTTTAAACTACCATTTCCGGAGCTCCTTAGGTTAACGGGACTTCCCTCCCAGTTCCTCATAGTACATCAGTTTTAAGGGTTGGATGGTGATGCTAAGTTTTAACAATAGATATTACTATATAAAAAAGACAGCTTGAGTATCAGAAGATTTTACGTTCTAGCTTCAATTCTGTGGCGAACAGCATTGGTCTGGTGGAGACTTATTCCACTGAAAGAGTACATTGAATGAGCAGGTGATGAAGACTTAAATCTGCTGTTTCCTGATTTGTTCTCAATTCCACATGCCTCTTTTTAAGATTAAATGTAACTTTATCTCATTGGCAGTACTGGGGTTTGAACTCAGGGCCTTGCATTTGCTAGGTAGGCATTCTATCACTTAAGGCACACCTCTAGCCTTCCACACGTCTCTTGAATCAGAGCATCTCATGGCATTGAGTATAACTCTTGTTTTTAAAGGTGCGTATCTGGAAAGTCAGCTACTTCATTTTCTGGTCAAAGAAATCACATTTCACTACTAACAGTGGGAGGGCAACCCTCTTATTTACTGAAGTAATACTTTCATCTTCCTTAGGAAACTTCCCAGTAGATTATGAAGAGTAATTTTAATAACACTCAGTTTGCCTCTTACATATTAACTTTATCCAATTCTCATCTAAGGTTCAACTTTAGTATTATAAGTTCTATCTTATTGGGACCAAAAAAAAAAAATCTTAAGGCAAATCAACAGTAAGAACCTTTTAAATGTATATATTCTCACAGGCATATGGTTCTGGGCAGTACCATTGTCAGTAGTCTTTTAGAAGGTGAAAATATATAACTAACATGGATATAGTTCTTTGGAGTTAATAGGGCAGTTCAATGTGTGCTATTACATCTAATGGGCTGAGGTTCACAGCCCACTGTCAATGTTAGGGTAAGGGGTAGAGTGGTGGCCAAGTAAGAAAATTCTGCTTGGAGAAGCAGAGCAGTCTATTATGATTGGGTCATGTGGGAGAGGAGACCTGCTGTACTTTTGTGCTATGTCTATCACATAGTTTCCTGGGTATCTAGATAGGTGGTGTTGGTCCAAGATAGCATACTACAAAGCCAAGAATAAAAATACAAGAGAAAGAGACATGAACACTTAATTTGTTTTTAAAGTTCATTATGTAGTTGTTCAAAGTAAAAACTTCAAAGTTGACCTATAATTCTATTTAAACCTGTAGAATCCCTTCTATCACCTCCCCCCACAATCACCTGTTGTGTTCAAAGAGTAAGCCACAATGCATTCACAAATTCCGGTCACTTAAAATGCCCTATGATGGCACCAAAAATCCCATGCAAACAGGCAGATTTGAGCGCACACATCAGTCTGGTATCCACTAGGTGGCACTCCATATCAACACAGTTTTCCAGTATTTCTGGAAAGATAGCCCAGGGATGTCAAGAATTGAGAGTCTTAACTTTTGTTTGCCTCTATTTTAGGAAAGGGAATGTCTGGAAAGTCTAAAAAATTAGTTGTCCCTTTGAGAAAGAAAGTCAAGGTTGGAGCCATGTGGTTGTAACACCTCTCAATAAACAATAACAATATAATGGGTCACATCTGTAGCACTGTTAAACAACTCAGTCCCCCAATTTTTTTGTCTTGCTAAAAAGCCAATATATACTCTTTGAAAATGTTAATATTAAAAGCAAAAGCAAATCAATTAGTAATTTATTCAGGTGCTTCCATAGTAAGAATTCTAAAGAGAGAGAAAGAAAAAAAGAGGCAGTATGTGTGAGAGACAGGACTGAGAGAAAGGAAGCAATGAGGCTGGCAAAAAAGAAAGGAAAGAAGTGGGAACTTGAGAAGTAGCGATGAGGGATGAAAAGAGAGGACTATGGGAGACTGACAGGATGCTTGGGAATGGGTAGACCTAGAACTATGATGACCAGAGGAGAGTAGAGACTTGAAAAAAGCAATTCAGACTATACCTTGGGCAAAGCATATTTTGGAAGCTTCATTTGGGCAAAGGCATTCCTTCGGTATGACACATAGTAATGAGGTCTTCCTCCTGATGTTAGCTGGATCATAAGAAGAAGATTGTGAGAAGAATTGCTAAAATGATTTCAGGTTACAGAATGGCTGCTTGAATGGAAGAGTATCACTGCCACACAACAGCACAGATGCCTGTCATAGACAACTGGGAAGCAGAGGCAGTTAGTTCAAAAACAACTTACACACTGTAGAGACATTGGTTAGAGGTCCAAACTGAACTTACTAGACAAAAATGCAGTTAATTTGTTTTTAGAGGCTAGAGAACATTCTCAGTTATTTTTCCCCAATCATATAAGTCTCCGGTACACTGGTGCATTGTCCATAGGCAGCCCAACTCTCCAGTTCTAAATCTATAGCCATACAAACAGATGCCCATGCTGGATCAAAAGGAAACTGTTCTAGTCCAACAGTGGAAGGAGACTCTCTTGTCTCTGGGCACTGAGTTCCAGTTTGATGGTGTCATACTGATAGTTGTAGATATGTCCCACTGACGGTACTGGCATGTCACACAGAAAGCCAGTCCAAGATTGTGGTCCAAATTCATATCAGGTTTCTATCTTTTAAGAGAAAATTGTGAAAACCAACCCAGTTTTGTCCAGGGCATATAGGTGAATGAATCCTGGAGGGTGTGAAGGAAAGGGAGAAGGGGTACAGCTTCTACCTAGGCAGGAGTACCATGCTGGGTATAGTGTAGTGTGTTCTCCTGCCAGTCCCACCTTGCTAACCACTCTTAACCTATATAAACCTGGACTCCGAATGTCAGTGGAATTTTCATACTCATAATGTCAACAAACACATGGAACCAGACACTTCGGAATGTGACTAGAAAGTGACTATTTTCACCAGTATGTAGCACATCACCCCTTAGTCCTAGTGTGGGTTACCTGATCACATTCATAGTGATATGTGAAATGCTGAAGGCAGAATCCATGTGTGTGGATTGTAAACCTTTGCTAGAGACTTGAAAAGATTCCTGGGAACAGCATTGATAGAGAAATGAATTAGAACCAGTACGTGATGTATGTCAACTGAAATCATCAGGGTATTCTTTACTTATTTCCTTAAAGAAAAAGGAAATAGTGTGCTTGTATAATCATTTGTGAAACACTTAAAAATTAGGTAGGCTGAATTGGGCACTTATTTTCTTTTAAAATTACTTTCTAAAGGCTTAAGATTATTCTAAATATAGACGTGTCTTGAATGTGTCTCAGTTGTAGTACAGTCATACATATGTCTATGTATCTATATAAACGCACACATAGATCAGCTATTTAGGAATGTAATTTTGTCATTTGTAACATGGAAAGCAATAACAAAATTTTTAAATACATTGTCCAAATAACACTGAAATTTTTCTTAAGTGCTGAAAAGAAGCAATGCATACTTATCCTTGCCTTTTCATGATTACTCATGAAATCAAACTATTTCCCACTCTGTTGGGAGGTGAAAAGTCTGGTTGAATACATCTCAAACAAGTCTCTTTCTCCTAATCACAGTCAGTGCCTGACAATAAAAGCTGATTACTCTTATTCTGACCTCTGCCTTCCCCATCTCCAGTCACCACAGCTTCCCCTGCTCACCCTTTCCTTCACTTTTAAGGTGGACCTGTTGATAAGGTCCTGCAGATACTGCTGATCAATTAGTATTCTGTAAGTATGGAAGCCACCACACTTAGTAATGGTCCATTTCTCTCCCTCTCCTTCCCTCTCTCCCTTCCTTCTTCCCTTCCTTCCTGTCTTCCTTGAATTTTTACTCTTAAGGCCACAGGAGCAGGCAGAAAGGGCTGCAGCAGGGACAGAAACAGGAAAAGAAAGGTCTCTGAGACAATGAGTAGAAGTGGCTCTTTCATACCTGAACAAACACATAATCATCCTGGACAATCAAAGAATCTGGGTCAATGTAGCCTGAGAAAGGCTTATTTCTGTTGGCTTCTGTACAGTTCTGCATTCGGCAAGTTAGGTACTGTGAATCTGGAAAAAAGAAGGAGGGAGGGGATGGAGTGGGTTACAGAAAGAAACAGAAACCATTCTGAATTTCCCTTGCTAGATCCAAGGCTTTACACAAACCTCACAATCTTTAAGTACATCACTGTTGTGGATATTATAGTTAAAATTATTGTCATTACTTCACTCCCTGGCTATCAACACTACCTTCTCCTGATGCACTCATCAATTCTTGCATCCTCAATTCTAAATTCTTGTTCTTTAAATTTTTTTCTCCCAAATGAATATATATTCAAAATTAAAGTGATTTCATGTTACATTTTTTCCCTTTAGTAGAATTCACCTCTACATTTTGACCTTTAATTCACAGATAGGGAATCACATGCAATTATTAAAAATCTCAGGCTGCTATTATAAATAATAACATTTTTATTAAGATAAAAATGAATTAGAAGTGAAACAGAATTGGGAGATTCCTGAGTCAAAACAAAAAGGAAAAACAACTTTGTTCTGATTTTACAGATGAGTGAACAGAGACCTTGGATCTCATCTGAGACTCTGTACCAGCCAATAAACAGAGTTATCAGTAATAATAACTCTTACATCAATTCAGTCTCTATTGCTAGAAGTATGGAAGGCTATTCTTGTTCTTCAATAAGAACTATTCTGCCCTCTGCTTAATTAGATTGGGTAAGTCTTTACATAAAATGACTTTGTTCTCATTGCACTTAGAATAAATTCAAAACCTCCACTACTCACCACTCCAATCTCCCTCTTCTTCCCACGTTCATCTCTTTTACTCTTCCTATAATTCTTCTAATCTGGCCTGCCTAAGGGTCGGTAAATTGGCCAAATATTCTACCATGTCATATACTTTTCATTGCTATTCCTTCTGCCTAAAAGGCTTCTTCCCAGTCTGTTACCAGAAAAGATCTAGATTTCAGGTCATTGTCATTTCTGGGGATGTTCTATAATTGCTGTCTATCACATTCCTCCAAGTTAATTCCCACTGTGGAATTTAGGACAATAAAACAATACTTGTTAATTATTTATTTCTATAACCTTCCCCAATTAGAATGTAATGAATGTAGTCTCCATGAAGACAGATTCTTGTTTTATTTTTATTGCATTCTTCTCTCTCTCTCTCTCTCTCTCTCTCTCTCTCCTTTCTCTTTCTCTCCTGTATCCTTAGGTTCTAATTATGATCCTGGAACATAGCAAGATAGCAAATAATAAATGGTTATTTTTGGAACATGCATCTTTATTTATTTGAATATATATTTTTGAATAAAAAATTATTTTACTTGTTTGTGATGGTTAATGACTAAGTAACCATTTTAAGACATCAAAAACATTATGAAGGCATGTCTTCAAAATGAAAAAAATCAGAAGATGATTATTTACATAAAGTGAGGGTTAGCAATAGTATGCAGAGATGGATGTAAGGAAGATTTCTGTTAAGGAAATTAGCAAGGCAGAGCTTTGAAGGACCATCTGCAAATAAGGAACTTGGGTATCCTGTGCTCTTCAAGAAGGGTCATTAGGGGGCGGCATGCACATTTATGCCAACTCTCCAATGACTGCTGTAGTTAGTACACTCAGGAGAAAGATGAGCTCTACTTACAATCTTCCTTGACCCTTCAGTCTTCAGTGGACATCAAATAGTTATCTAGTACTTTACCCTATTTAGTCTTGGTGAAAACACCTCCAAAGTTGAACTAAGCAAAGGTCCTCTACTCATCTTTTCCCATCTCCTTTTTTAGAAATTCTTGTAGTTCCAATAGAGCACACCTCAAGATCTTTCACATTAAAAACAATTTCTGGGACTCATCTCTTCCAAGAATTGTCTTCTCTGTAGCACACAAAACCTTTACCTCAAAATTTCACACTTCACTAGACCATTTTGCAGCTTTTAAGTTACTTCACCTTTTTCAAAGGTAGTTTGGGGCCATAAAACAATAAAGATTTGTGACTCTGAGACCTGGGCTTGAGTTATAGCATAGTCATTTACTAGCTGCATAGTTTAGAAGAAATCACTTCATATTTCTTGAATTTAGCTTCCTTCATCTGTTAATCAGAGACAACAATATCAACTATCTGGTAGATTACCTACTAGATATAATTCTGTAAGAATTAATTGAAAATACATACATATAGTGTTTTCATACCCAGACTTATTCAAATGCTAGTTGTCATTATTGAGAATAATGTTCTTGCTTTCTCTTTCGTTATCTTTTACAATGATGAGATCACGTTAGGGCATATAGTTGACCATTAAGAAGACTGCTTAAACTGAACTTTGGTCTCCAGTCATGTTTCTGCATCAGGTACTGTAAATGGCCTACTTTTAACATCCTTTCTTCTCTGTCTATTTTCTCAGGAAACCAATATTGAATCTATTAGCTTATTCTTTCTCCAGGTGACTTAGAAGTTCACAAATGTAAAGAATTACATATGGGTCTAAGTCCACTCAGGGCTTCCTGGTCCCCAACACTGGTTGGTTTAGAAGAGGGTATTTAAACCCAGCATGGGCAAATGAGAAGTGAGGATTTGTAGTAGAAGACTCTCCCCCTATCAATGCACAGCACTGTGTCTCATATGATGCTTGAAACTACTCTAGACTTCTTGTTATCTGAAGCAGTCCATCTTGTAGCCAAGATTGCATAATGAGTGTGAAAAATAGATGGAAAGGAACTGTTTCCCAATAACATCAATGAACTATCGATTGTTCTGAGTCTAGAGCTGCCATATCTCTGTGAGTCTTGTTACATAAGATAATGAAAAGAAAAAAATTATGACTACAGAAAGTCAGCTTCTTGATTAGGAGTTCTTAGCTTCTAACAATTACAACTTTCATTATAATTTCTGAAGTTTACACCTAATGAGGACTTCTTGATGAACTGCATAATTTTTATTTTATTGTAACAATATCTGATAATTTCTTTCTTAAGATCTCAATCTCCTGTTCATAAATTCCTGAACAAAAATAAGATAGAAAATATAAACATACATTTATATTTATAACTCTTCTATACAGAAATTATAAACCTGAGAGATTTGGGGAGGAAATAAAGGAACATGGAATGTCACATTTGTTGAGCATCTATGCATCAGACATTCCAAAGAATTCTCATACTTACTTATTACAATTTGTCTTCATAACACTATAGACTATGGTCTATAAACCAAGAATGGAGCTCAAAGAGATTGTGATTTGTAGAAATGACAGTATGGGGTTTTGAATTGGCTGGCCTAACTCCAACTTTGGTTTCTGTTATACCATATTGCATGAAAAAGCTCAGTGAGTTTGAGTCAATATTTGTTCAATATATTTCAGTTTCTATATAATTATTAATGGATATGCCTAGATACAAAATGAAAACACCCATAAATTAAGACGTTATGAGATAATTGTCAATATGGATCAATATACTTGAAATTATATCCTTCAATCTCAGGTTAATTTCTGAGAATTCTATCTAAGGAAATAATAATCTATGCAAGGTTTTATCCATTTGGATGTTCATCAGTGTTTAATAATAATAATAATAAATTGGAGAAAACAAAATGGCCGGCAACAGAGGAATAACTAAAATGTAGAACATGTACTGATTACTATTAAAATCCTGCTTCTAAAAGGAATGTTTAAAGTTTATATTACAAAAGAAGGTTAGTAAATGGTAATATTGCACTAATGTCAATTTCTTAGTCTTGAAATGTATACCTTGATTATGAAAATGTTAGCACTAGAGGAAACTGGGTAGAGAGTACATGTGACTTAAACTATCTTGGTAACTTTTTGGTTTACCTAAAATTATTCCCAAATAGAAGCTTTTTAGAAGTAGGTTACCAAAATATTGCATTATGGGCTCACTGTTTTGAAAGTTGTATATATAGACATCAATATATATGAGCCTGCATAGGAAAAAATGAATAAAACATATATGGAATGCCAACACTTAGTGGGAAGGCAGTAATGTGAGAGAGTTGGTCCAACACCTCTCAGTGGGTGAATGGGAGTCATTGTGAGCTTTGAGATCAACTGTGTCTAACTCTTCTGCATGTTCTGTATTCCTCCATTTTCTATGTTGTATACTGTGATTAAGCTGTAAAATGAACATGTCTTTAGGCTGAGAATTCTGAATATACAGTTAGGTGACATAATAAAAGCCCTTGGAAGCAGTCTTCAAACCAATTCTTGCTCAGAATGACTCAAAGTGAAATTTAGAAGCTGAAGGGTAAATGATCAATTTTGAGCTGCCTGCCTGGTAAAGTGTTCTTGGTTTGTTCCCTTTCTCCTCCTAATGGAAATAGAAAGAGATTGGCTGCAGTTCATAATGAGGGACCAATCACTCTTATTCCTCTAGGGACTCGCTGTAATAGCATTAAATATGATGAACTCTTTCAATATTCAATTCTGGTAAGTGTATGATGCGATTCCATAGGAACTGTCTTGTAATTTGCCATTAATTAATGTCAATTAATGTATGCAACTGCTAGACATTAGAATTAATCTCATTACTTTTCTTACACAGATGTTTTCCTTGCCACAGGTAATTAGGACAGTGTGCTGCTCTTTTCAAGCATTCTCCCTCTGCAACGGCTGCTGCTTGGAATAGTACAATCTCCATCCATCCCAAGCCTGTGCTGATTCAATGAGAGAAGCTGCCTTCAAAAAGCCAGGGTTTGAGTCTAGGAACAGGGGTTTAAATAAAGATCCAACAGCTGCTGACTTGGTGAACCTGAGCAAATCACTCAGCCGCTCTAAAATTCGATCCATAACATGAGAATAAATGGTACCCATCTTGCCAGTGTTGTGACAAAAGAAGACTTTGTTCCTACAAAGTATTTAGGGTAGTGTCTAGTTAAACTGTGCTCAGATTATGGTAACTGTAATTGTTATTTTAAGTCCTGTCTCTTTAATAACCAGTATTATTCAATGTGTCTCAAGGAAACCACCTATAAATTACTATAGACATTGTGACAAGTATTTTTCTGTACATTCAATTTTTTTATTCCAATGATGT